TGCAGTGATGGTATGTCCCTAGGCATCCTCCCGTCCTATACACTGTGTACACAACGTGATCACTCAGGACCCTTAATCCGCTGTAGCGGAGGGGAAGCGAGGTCTATAGCCTGGTCTAAAAGCAAGTCAGCTCTGAGGATCGGGTGAGTATAACGTATTTTTTAACACCTAGACAAACACCTGCAGTTAACCCTTGCAGTGCGGGGGTAGCTCTATGGTAAGGGTTAAGATCATTTTTACCCGGAGTTCTGCTTTAAATAAATGCAGGTAAAAGCAAAGAAAAAAATAAAGTATTTTAAATGCTTACTTGCAGCATTTTTCTTTCCATATATTATTTTTATTCACTTGCAATGTGCCCCAGAAATGTTGGCTTCATCAAGAAGAGAAAATTCCCATCCTCCTTGAACATCATAGTCCTCTCCTCTTCCGGGAGTGTCTAATTACTGCCTGCGCTGCAGATGCTCCTACACCCTGCCCTTCACCTCCCTACATAATCTTTTATGTAGCAGTCAGGGAAAGAGCAAAGGTGAGAACTCTAGAGCAGGGGTATGCAAACTCTGGCCATCCAGCTGTGATGAAGCTACAAAGGCTGGAGTTCAGCTTTAAGCAATGACAATACTAATCACAATGTATCTACACCGGCTTTTCACTGCAGTGTTCTACATTTATTCTCTACATCAAAGTAACCCACTTTCTCATGTTTTAAAGTTGGGGGTATGGGATTTATATACTTGTGACATCAAGAGGAAACAATTGAGTCCAGGAAATATATGCTGACCTAGGATGCCGCTTAAATAAATGGTGCTGACCTTCTAGAGATAAAGAGAAATAAATGCTTATCAGGGGAAGTGCTGTGATCTCTTTAAGAGATGTTGATGTAGGATAGTGTTACAGTCTACAGCACTCTACCAAAAAAAGTCCCACCTGAGTTTCTATTCCAAAGGTCACACCCAGGGGCGTAACTAGAAATCACAGGGCCCCATAGCAAATTTTTTATGGGGCCCTGTGACTTCTAGTTATGCCCCTTGCAGAGCCCACTTGAGATCCCACACAGCCCACCTGAGGGTGACCCTGCAGAGCCCACCATAGACTCTCTATGGTGGGCTCTGCAGAGTCAACCTCAGGTGGGCTGGTCACACTCCTTACCTGTCCACCTCCTCTTCCTGCACGATCGCTGATGGGCCCCGCCTCCTCCTCCGTCGCCGGGCCCGCCTCCTTCTCAGTCAACGGGCCTTGCCTCCTCCTCTGCTGCCGACCACGGGCCCCGCCTTCTCCTCCACTGCTGGGTCCAGGGTGCTCCGCCGTCGCTGCTGGCTCTCATTAACTCTGCAGCGGCTGTGAGAAGAACGCACTGCTGCACAGATCACTGTCAGTGATCTGAACAGCAGCGCATTCTTCTAACAGCCGCCAGTGAAATCCACAGCATAAGATGCCATAGCGACCCAGGCGGCCCGCACGGCATCTGGCCTGGGTCGCTATGGCAATTGTTACGCCACTGGTCCCACCTGAGCTTCTGTTTCAAACCTCCCACCTGAGCTTCTATTTCAAAGGTCCCATCTGAGCTTCTGTTTCAAACGTCCCATCTGAGCTTCTATTCCAAAGGTCCCATCTGAGCTTCTGTTTCAAATGTCCCACCTGAGCTTCTATTCCAAAAGTTTTCAGCAATTCTTCTTAGGTAAGTAACAAATCCCTGTAAATGTTAGGGAGGGAGCACCAGCAGCACCGGAGCAAAAGGCTTTCAAATGAACGAAGGGCCTAGGAGACCTTTATCTTCACTTCTTTTTGTAGCTTAAGTTCTTTACCATGGCATCACTTATTAAGTACTATCCTCCACTTCTGCCATTTCAAGGAATGTGTTCCTATGCTCAGCACAAATAGGGATAGCTTCCCTGACCAATTACCAACATTAGACAACCCTAGATGTAGGTCTTTTCTCATAAGGACCCACCAACATTCACTTGTCATCTAGAGTGAGACACCCTACCTATTTCATGGCACTGAAGTCCTCTCCCACATAAAGCTGTCATACCTAAAGCAACAAATGTCCACCACAAGCCATCCTCCTGATGTTTCCCAATGTACTGCAGAAGAGCATGCACACAAATCCACTCCGGGTAACAAAACTCAACCAGAAAAGGAGTGACTTCCTACCCCACCCATAAATTCAGAGTCATGCACCTCTAAAGGGGATCATCTTTATTACATGTATAATTGCTGGAAGGCAGCATGCAGTAGTTTGTTTTAGAGGCTTAGACATTATGTTGTTTATTCTTTACCTACTGAACAATAATAAGGTTTGGCCAGCAACGGAGCGACTTCCATTAGGTAAAGTGGCAGTTGTGCTTTGGTGACTTTGTGATAATCAGCGTGATATGGGTCTCAGGGTCTCTTTTAATGGATTAAGCTAGAAAAATTGGTTCAACCTGTTTAGTTTTATAAACACCCCCAATGTGTCCTAAAAATAATGAGCTTTTAAAAACTTGGGCATTCTTAACACTAGCATCCAAAACTTAAGTGTGTGCATCCTTCACGTGTTTTGAAGGGAAATAGTGCAACATACTTAACAAGGAAAAGGTCACCACTAACTCACCACTTTTTCTCTTGCTCTGCCAGCATCACATCAAGAATCTGAGATTATGTTTCTTAACAGCTGTTCATGTTAACCAAGGTCTTCGGTAATGCCAATTAACATTGCTGTGTTTACAGTGGAATGCCAAGTGCATTGTTATGATCATTATTAGAGGACATGGGTTACTATAAAGTGAACTTATATTTGCAAAATTGGGCACAGTAACAGGTTTGCATTACAGGAAGTGGAGTCAGCAACATTTCAATTCAAACCTTACCCCTGTTGTTCTGATCGGTTGCCAGAGCACCCAGAAGTTTGTTGTAAGTTTGAACTTCCTGGAAAAGTAAAAATACTAATTATGGATGTTCCACGCACTTCCATATGACTGTTTAAGCTTGGAGATTGGTTACTTAAAATGCTGTACTGTTGGGAGGTAGGGTAGCGTTTCCTATAACTACTGGTTACTCCTAGTTGGAGCCGTGTGTCAGGGTGGTACTTTGACCAGTCAGGGTTGAGTAATCTATACAGTAGATATATTTATTTATTCCTCTCTTTTAATGGTCATCGTTCTTACATTCCATTTTGCCTAATTCACTTGACCACTTGTTTGTTTTTGTTGAGAACTGGCTGATGATCTATGTCAGTGTTCAACATCCCCCCCTCCCCCCCCCTCAGCGGGCCACGGTAACATTATTAAACGTTGACCGGTCCGCGGCGATAAAAAGGTTGGGGAGCACTGATCTATGTTACACTAAGTTCTTCCTATGATCAATTCTTAATCACTGACATCCCTGCCATTATTATACACATAAGTCAGTGAGACAAAAGTATCACCAAAACCTAATCTTCTGCCATGCTCCCTAGATATTTACAGTTCTTGCTCAGGACCTGACCTCTCTATAGACATTCCTAGATGATCAACTGGAGCAAATAAACCAGTTAAATATCCCTTATTTTCCACTACTGGACTTGTGAAAAGAATCTCTAAAGGGCCAGCATCTCCATTTGCACCAGAAGAGACAGCACATGCAACTGAACACGTAGGCCCATAGTAACTGAGTTTCTTGTTCACGTTTACAATCATAAAAAATGATGGTTAAGACAATAGTAATGGCTACAGCTATGTAGGTTTACAGACTCCTGGTCCTTCAAGATTTTCATATGTGAAACTTTTTTGATCTCCTGAGAAAGTAACCATATACTGTATATATAAATATACAATGTATTTAAAGGTATGTACAGCTGCTCTGTATAGTAAATATACACTGCAGTGTTTTATTGTATCACTGAAGGAGGTCCTCTTTTCCTATCTGCTGGCCAAAACTAGTCAAAACCAGACTGGCCCAAGGGGAGCATTTTCTCTAAGCGTCTTTTTTCTTTCTCACTCCTTGATCATCATTCAATTTGTGTACTGCAAATAATTTATACAACCTGTAAAGTGTCTAAATAGGATTAGATCACCTCTATTTTCTTTATGCAGGCCAAGTATTTTAGGGGGCATATAGTAAAAAACACCACTGGAAACATTTTCAGGGTTATTCACAAAAGGGTGAAGAGTTTGGAGAAGGCAGGACAGGTGAAAAATCTAGGCCAAAATAGCTGATTTGGAAAAATGCTCCAATTCAGCTCACTTTCCAGTTCAGCTATGTTGTCCTAGAATGTTCACTTCTCCTGCCTCCTCCAAACTCTCCACCTTTTTGTGAATAACCCTGTTTGATTGTTGGTATTGGTAATATGGAGCAATACAATGTATTTGCTAACATGACCCACTATTTTCAGAACTGTTATGGGTTTTGTTACCCACACAACACCAGTAGGGAAATAGTAAGGATGTCTATCAGGTTTTTATTGTATTTGTCTGTGTCTCTGTTAGGAAGATTTGGCCTCTCAATTAGTTCCAGTGACTGTCATTACAGGGACAGAGAGTGCTGGGAGTTTCAAAATCTTACAGTTGTCACTGGATCAGGAGGCGAGGGGAACTCTTCCAATAAGTATACCTGTTCCATTGACAACCATCTAAGAGGGGATCTCTCTACACTTTGGGGAGGTTTTCTATCATCTCTTGCTGTATCTGAAGGATAGTAAATGTGTCCAATGGCACACAGACTGCAATAAAAAAAAATATGTGAGGGGTCATAACCATTCCCTTCTCTACCAAAATAAAAAAAGGTACATTTTGGCTAGAAATACACTTTAAAGTTCCATGACGTCTGGGAGTGTAAATCATGTTCTTCATAATCTTAAATTAAAAACAACACAGTGAGTTGTTTCAACTTTTCTATTTATTCAGCTGAACACGTATTGTGTCCCAGTGTATATTTTATTATGGGGGCTCCAAAAAAAGAATTGTTGAGATAGCAATCGTGTTACTGATTTGGACGGTAGAAGCACAGTACATCTGAGATTTATAGGTTTTTCACAACATTCATATGCATCAGTTGACAGAGTTATGGACAGTGTTTATCTTCTGGAAGCAAAATGCTGTGCACAAGGGTAGATCTCTCTTTGGTTCCAGTAATTAAGGTCGCATTTGATGAGGATACTGTATGTACAGATGTTATGTACACAGCCCTTTCGGTGCAGAGGAAGACCGGTGAAAAAACACTCTTCGGCACTGAAGGGGCTGGAAATGTAGACTTAGGTGCATCCAAGAAACATCCTGTAGTCCATTTACTCTATGTAAGACTTGACAAGCAGCCACATCAACATCACAGTGATCAGCACGATCATGAAGTTAAGGAACAGCTCTTGTGTGGATCGCTCCATCTTCTCTGAGCGTGGTGGGGCTGGTGGACCAAGAGGAAGCTGGTGAACTCACAAAAAAAGCTTCACAGGGTCAATCTGCAGAGAAAGCACATAGACAACATTATTCTAAACAATGTGTATTTTGTTTTCCCTGGCAAGGTGTAAGGTACTGACAATGTAATGTCCTAAAAACAGAATGCCTTGAGTGTATATTGTTAGAAATGTAAAGAGTAGCCAGGAGGAAGTTATTGGAAGCTGGGAGTTAAAGGGTCAGTCCATCGAAAATAGTATTTTAGATATATCAGGGGCCTGGTGAGCTGAGTCAGCCCCTGGCTTATTATGTATCTTGGATACTTCAGCAGTGAGATCTCCCTACCGTAATTCCTGATTTTGTTTATATGGGTGCTTTCAGTGTTGCCAACCACCTTTGCATATTCCAGCACCCCTTGTTACATTTTCCATAACATCAAATAAATACAAATTCCAACAGGGAGAGTGGGAACCCCTCATAATGGCCGCAGCAGGTGGGCAGTGAACAATGAATTCCAACTAAGAGACCTCACAAATAGGATTCCTGAGTTTTATAAGATAGTATAAGGTGGTTAAATGCTCCAGCACATATCAAAGAACAGAACATCAGTTTTGAGGTGAGTGACCCTTTAACTATGGATCACTGATTTTCTTCATCTATACCCCCTGTATCGATGCTGGAAAGATTATGGTTTCAAAGTCAAAGGTATGAAACAAAAAAAGAAAAGAAAAAAAGGTGTGATGTTCTTTACCAATATGTGGCATGACAATCCCGATGCATCATTAAAGATATTACAAGAAGAGGTTTTAATCAGAACCAAATTTCTTGTGGATTTAAAAAATATAACAAACATATTTATGCAATGTTATCCTTTGATACGTTTGTATTTTAATTGATATGAAGAAGCTGTATATAAGCTGTATATACTGTATATTTTAGCCAATAAAGTTACCCCATATTGAAGCATATACAATTTTTTGGGAATTTGTACATTGCTTGCTATTCAAAGTATATCTACAACCAAAACTTTTTTTATAGTTTGGATTGAGTAAGACATTGCCATTAGATACACTTTAAACATAATATAATAGGACAACGTCAACTTTTTGTTGTGAACTGTGAAATCATAAATATGAATATGAAGAAAAATATGCAGTTAAAATAAATATGCACACAATTCATGTTATAGTTCTACATATTCATAGCTGGTTTCATGGTTAAAATGTACATATATAATATATATTTTGTAATGAGATACAGGTATGTACATGTAGATAGTGATATGTGCTTGATATGCTTGCGGGTTTATTTGGGTTTCACTGGCATTCTCTATATATAGAGTTGGCAGCAAAGGACAAAGAAACAGTTTGACTCAGCTTGGTAACAGAACGTAACCCTGACACAATTTCTGTAAGCAATTATTACATAAGGAATACAGCAAAGTGCTTTAATTTAAAGCGATAAAGTTTTAAAAATAAATAGGCTGAGGATCCAATACACCATGGAGGAGGAATCAGCAGACCTACCTGTTTTATCAACTACATGTTAACTACTTATAGGAACAAAGATCTCTGCTAAGACTACAGCACAGAGTGCAGCTACAACTGAAAAATTAGATTTGAAGTTCATGTTAAAGCCCAACTCCATACTTTGCCCCCCCCCCCCATCCTCCATGTTCCCTCCTGCCCCACTCATGGAGGGCTTCCTATTTGGTTTTTATGTTTTTTATCTTATACTTACCATTTCCAGATGTCCTCAGGTTGGTCATGACACGCAAGGTCCACTTCCCCTTTGAACCTTCTCCCGGTGGTGGGTAGTGTGACGGATGCGCCCAGTCAAAGACCACTATACGTTAACATTCATGAGGTTGGAGCTTAATAATATTAATATGCTCCAACCTCATTATCGTCACAGGCAGTCTTTTATGATGCATTACACTATCAACATCAGTACACTATTAGTGCATGGTGCTGTGGTGACAACTCCCCCCCATGGGGGCAGGTCTCATAATAAGTCCTGAATCTTCCACATTGAATTCAGTAGGTACCATTCAACCCCAAATAATTACATCTTGTGATAAAGAGCAATTACTGAGGGGGACTGAGTCGGAGAGAAAGGTAATCATTGCAGAGCTGCTGTTTGTTTCTAACCTCCAGTAGAAATTTAGCCCGGAAATGTATTAACCTACAACCTGTCCCTAATAGTCTGCGGTCATGATCAACAGTCCAGCTTCCCTAAGAAAATATAGTGAGTACAATTACCCCGCTGCTTGCTTTCGAGGTTGCTCTCAACCTGGCATGATGTCTCATGTCTGGTGGAACTGCCCAATAGTGCCTAAGCTCTGGATTCGACTGTATAACCTGATTCCCACACTATTGCATACAAATTTGTGTAGAAACCCATTGGAAGCCCTTTTCAATAAGCTCATTACCCTTTTTTCAAATTGAAAGGTTGTTGGCCCAACATATATTCACTCCCACTAGATTAACCATTGCCAGAACATGGCCAACTCTCACTCTTAGTTTTAGGGTTAAAACTCGATTGAATGGTATTATGGTTAATGAAAAACTGACAATAGCAATATTAGCTGAAACCCAAGCAAATTTCTTTTGATTTGGCAACCATAGCTCTCTTGCTCCCTACCTCTAAATTTTGATTCTTCCTTGCTAAGTCTTTGACTTTTTTATGGCTTGACCCCTCAGGACTTCTCTCCTCTCTTTCTTCCTTCTTACATCAATTTCCCATCTTCTTCCCAGCGGCCTTTTTTCCTTTGTGTTACCTCTCTATTGTCTGGTTTAGTGGATTGACATCCTTTTCCCCATGGCCAAACAAGATTGGGTGTGGAGGCTTTAGTTTACATTCTGTATTTATCTGACCAGTACATGTTTTCAAAGTGTGTACATAAGATTTTATATTTCTTATTTTATTTCAATATTTCTTTTGCAACCTGTTAACATTGTATTACTTGTGTTACTCCCAGTTACGCAGCTAAATAGCTTTTCGCGACTTAGCTTAATTTCTCTCATTATTGAATGTTATTTCCTACTGTTCCTTTTGCTTGTGTATTTTTGAAATATATAACCTGTGCTGTATCATTTGTGAATTCCCTCAATCAAATTTTAGTGAAAGAAAATATTGTACATATTTTAAAGGGGTTCTAAACCCTCCGTTTTTTTTGCTTATATCTACTGCCAGCAAGCAGCAGATATAGGCAAGAAGTGTAAAAAAAAAAAAAAAACCCGCTTGAAATCATTTTAAACTTACCTCGTTATCGCTGCTCGCTCCCGCGCCGAGAATCAGGAACTGCTCGTACGGCCGCAAAGGATCTTGGGACGGGCGCATTCGCAGTTCTGATTCTCGGCAGGGAGACGAGCAGAGATGCAAGGTAAGTCTATGGACGCGTGCACCCGCATGCAGACACCGCTGGATCGGAGGGACAGAGCAGTCAGCGCTGGATCAGAGTGACGCCGCACCGCTGGAGGGACACATGAAAACATGGGGAAAGAAGAGGAAGACCAGAATAAGAGACATCATTTAAGGTTAGTGCTAACATTTACATGGGGGGGAGGGAAAAAATGTTTTGCCTTTAATATCACTTTAAGTTATTGGTGTAAGTGGAAGAGTAAATCCCAATTTCTGTGCTGCATTTCCAGTCAGGAAGCACAGCCTAAACATCTAACAAAATTACTGCCCTCATGTACCTACAGTGTAACATTAAAAACTACAAATAGATAACAGACATTGATGTTATGTTATTTTCTTTAAGCTGACCATATTTCCTCTCCATGGCAGCATATGAGTGGGGGCAGAGGCTACTTACCTATATTCCGCCTTGGAGATAGTCAGGAAAAGAAAATTACGCTATCGATATGAATTTTCCTTATTACATGTATATATTTAAAATAGGCCATAGTTGCCCTTCAATATTAAAACTAACACTAAAGAGAACCTGTCATTAAATAATAAATGCAGTGCTATGTCACCTTATTCGAAAAATACTAGTGCTATGCTTCCTATTTCACTACTCAGCCATTGACTGATAAATATGCTTTGCATTCTGCTATTATATAGGATTTATATCGCGTCAACAGATTGCACAGTGCTTTACAAAATGGAGGGAGACAGTAACGTTACAATACAATTGCAATACAGTAGGGTTAGGAGGGCACTGCTCCTGAGAGCTTGCAATCTAGTAGGAGCACATGATCACCTCATCCCGTTAAGCAATATAGCTGCATATCCTTGACAAATTTCACATGAAAACGAATACACCATCTCACGACTTCTGATCATGAGTGACACGTTGCTTCTAAGGCCAGAACTTGCCAGACTTTGAGCAAATATTTAACAGTTGTGATTATACTGTACTAGGAAATCCTGATATTAACATGTAATGTGACCTCTGGAAAGTTCCTCTTACAGGCTGTATGCTATGTTGGTTGATCCCTTTCTGTGGCACTGAGTCACTTGCTATGTGATACGGTCCTGAGAGTCCTCCTGCATTAGCTGACACACTTGTTAAGTTAGTAAGAGGCATGGAGAGATTCCTTATAAAGCCTCCTGGTGCTCTAGAATTAGAGGAAACTGGGCTGTGCTCTGTGTGAGTTTGTAGTATGCAGCAAGAAAAGTCTGGAACATATTCCAAAATGCTCAAGTTTTTAGAGTTTCCAGTGCATACCTGAGACACAACAATGAAAGTGTTATAAGTAGCTCAAAGTATATCCTTAAGTGGATGTAAACCCCAAATCTATTTTTTTAGTATGTTTAGCCACTGCCAAAGAATTGTCAGCTTGCCATGCACTTTGCTTCAGGCCCGCAGGAGTCATGCACTGACCTGAGCATGCACGGCAGGCTGACAGCATGGCTGCTTGGTTAACGCTATCAGCCTGCAGCAGGAGGGCTGTTACTGGCAGAATCTTCAGGTCAGAAACTTTACAAAAGCATTATTTATTCAATTCTTTGCTTTAGAAAACTGTATACAATGAGGCATGATGCCAAACATACTGAATATAGATTAGGGTTCACATACACTTTAGGGGGCCTCATGGGTCATCTTCTGACAGCCCATTAAGAAAAAAAGAAAGGATAGGTTTGGGGTCCTTTTTCTAGGCACTAATTAAATAGGACAATGACAGTAGGTGTCTGCATAGGTTTCATGTCCTCCATAAGCAGAAATTAGTGTTTAAATTCCTGTCTTACAATATTATATTTCAGACATATATGGTATTTTTGGGATATCCAGTAAAAGCATTAACTTGTGTAATGGTATCCTATGCACGTCTTGTTGCCATATGTATGTAAATAACCTTTGAACACCTATTTTGTTCAGTTAGAATTGTTTTAATTTCTCGTGCTTCCTTTTTACAGACATTCATACAGACAATTTATACAGACAAAGACATATATGATGCTCCCATTTATCATGCAATAAGCATCCACTGGGTACAACAGATGCCTTTGCAGCCATAGGCAAATACATAGAAAATAAAGTTTATATACAAAGGGGATTAGTGTGCTTGCTATGGCACCACCATAGAAAATCAGAAAGATGAAACTTCAATTTTATTTATTAGTTTTTATTTATTAGTTTTAAATGAAGTAAGGCAAGGTTTCAGGGTTTATTGCTAGTCATGATCCCCAAATGTAATGGGGAGGCCTACCCTTCCTGCCTTTTTCTCTGTGTATAAGCTTCATATATTCCTATGGGATTTCAGTTAGCCCACCAATATGGAGTCACAGTCTACATCCAGGAGTGTATGGCTCTATGCATGCACAGGTTTACCCAAGTAGTGTCATAAGCCCACGTACAACAACCTACAACCATTCATTACTAAGAGTAGCTGTACACAGAAGCTGTGTATCTGGGTGCAGACATACACCCGCAATTTACATTATACACTGCCCTTAAACAATGCACATTCTGGCGTCATGAGTGAATAAGTCCTTAATGTGTGCTGTGTAAGGGCAGCATATTTATTTTGAATTGGCTGCCGACGCACCACAAAGCAGGAGTATTGGATGTTTTACTGCTTGTTACTTCAATGCATAAGTGTAAAGTCAGTCTACAAGACAGAACAAGATTCCCTTTACAGAGTCTAAATTGTGCCCAATTGCAAAAATTAAATATAACTATCGGTGGAAAATGTTTCCCTGGTATTCAGATGTTCTCAACATTTCTGCATCCTTATTAAGCTTTGCTATTTTTTCTTCTGTCACAGCTGGACTCGGGACAAATGTTTCCCAAAACACATAGCTCTACAAGGATATGTGCTGTGTTGTAGATGTGCTACTGCCTTACCGTAACATCCATAAGAATATACTATGTTAGCTGTGTTTACTTACAAGTAGATCATATAGATATAGATTTTTGCAAAGTAAATCTGCACCCTATACAGTCTATTTTTGGTTTTGCCCTATCCGTGTATTTTTAGCAAATGCTATGATAAAGATCACAAGCATTTTGGCTTAGAACACACCCATAATTTTGCCCTAATATAGCTAAGTTACACTCTCCATACATTGCTTGAAAACAGACCCCTTACAACAGTTTTGCATGTTCACTGGGCAACCATTGTTTTTTTTTGTTTTTTTTCACAGAGCCCTACATACCCATGTTTAATGTTATCAGGAGTCAAAACGTAGTTTACCATTGTATAGAAACCCCAAAGAGATATTGCTACCATTATTTCCCACTAAAAAGGATGGAACCCTCAAACCATGGTTTCAGGGTTTTCTTTGCTGGCCTAACTCAAGAGTCCTTAAACTTTGGTCTAAAAGCTAGGAGGACAAAAAGATGTACTGGGTTTTTTTCTGTAAACATGTACTCCAGATGCAAATGTTCACCACTTTCTTCTACAGCCACTAGGATACTGCTAAGCAGTCCAACAAGGAGACGTGACTCAGAGGCAGTAAAGGGAACACAAAGTGCATTTGCAAATGTCCGTCTATGCCACTAGACACACTGGCCAGTGTTTATCATGCACTTTCAGGATGGCAGTTTATACAGGGCTGGGTTGCTAGCTTGACATCTGACCTTCCTCCTTTTGCAGCACAGACTTGGGACCAGCTTACCAGTAAACCCATCAGAATTTTTTTGGGCAAACAGGCGTAATAAAACTCTGTGCAGATAGAGTCCCAAAAGGAGACTGAATCCAGGCATCAGGGGGTCAATTTAATACTTTAATGTTTTTCATGCACTTTACCCCAAATTAAAGAAAGTACCAGAAGAAATAAAGTCCTAAACATGACATACAATCTATTACCTGTATTATATATATTTACCTCATAATAATAAACACCTGGTACAGAAAGTCTTGATGACAGATTTAATTTTAGCAGCAGCATGTGCACTTATAAAGCATTAGTTGCATGCCAACTTTTTACATCCTCTTACATCTCTGTGCTTGCCATTCAGGCACAGAAGCTTGACAGCTGAGCAAAATATTTTAAAGCAGGCTGGCTACGAACTGTCGAGTTTAACATACTGTCCATGGTACATTAAAAAAATCTATAAATATCCAGTATAGAAAACTTTGCTGAGCTTTAATAAACACGGTGTGCTACAAGAATATGACCAATGATTGCCTCTAATAGAAATTAATTACCTGATCTAATGGTTCAGAATGTTCTAGCCTTAGGGCAATGGATGTTATCAATTCCTGCTTGGCTTGAGTCTTCCCACCTCCTTGAGCAATGTGATTCGAAACTATCTGTGTTGGAACTAAAGTAGCCAGAGGGTGGGGAGCATCAAGTTGACTGGCAGAGTTTCTGATGAGGTCATGGTTGCTGCATATATAAGGCAAGAACTGCATCTACATAGCCCTTCTCATTTCACATTATATAAAACCATATACTTGAGCAAGTACATTTTATATTTTAATCCAGTACATGACTGTCCAGTACAATCCCATCATTTCATTGTTCGCAGATCGGGCATTACTCGCCCCTGTCCATGTTACGGTCTTCCTAGGCAGAACACTTTACCAAGTCGTTAAACCGTGGCCATGTTCTTTATAAATACGCAGCTATTTCCACACCCTCCTCTACGTCACTTTTGATACTGTAGATCCCTCCATTCTTTGTAGACACACAATTAAAGCACTGCCCTTGACAGAGCCAATAATTGGATCATGTGGCCTTTTAAAATCGTCCCTCCTGCAGTGCACAATTGGCCTCCCATGTAGGAGTAGGTTAGGGATCATTGCCAGACGTTCATTAGTAAACCGATATTATTCCATGATAACATGAATTCTATTTATGCTGAAGGGCGCAATCCTGAAAACATCTATAGCTCTTCTGGGTTGTTTTTTTTTTAAAGAAGCATTATATCAATGAGTTAAACATTTATCCCTTCTTTGATTCACTAAATTTAAACAAGACGTGAAATCATAATTTTCGAGAATATAATAGGTCAGTGAGAAGTGGTGTACAGTGTCTAGTAATATTTGGCATGAAGTAAAAGGATTAAGCCATCCAGACTAATAAAACAGAACTGGGTTGGTTCTAGAAGATAAAGAATATGATGACTGTTTATAGAACAGCAGCACTCCACCAGGGAGATATACTGGCATATGTTCCTGGGATGTCTTTTGCGGGAAGCCGCATCTATGTCAACTTGATGTCATAGGTTGTAGCCAAGTTTTGCCCCCCTGGAGTTATACACAGTCATAAGTGGAGATTTCAGTGTTGGGATGGTTTGATTATAATGTCTGGTCTTGAGCTAGATGCTGCAATAGTACCTTTAGATAAGAGACTGTCTGGCATCTTGTGTCATTGAATATCAAAGCTAGAACACCATAGGCCTTTAAAGTGAACTAATAAACATCTAGCAGAATTGAAAATGAGACACCTAGAGCAGCCATCTCAACTCTCCGGGAGTAGACACCCGGGAGAGAAACATTTTCTCCCGAAAAGTTTACTCTGCTCTATATAGCAGAGTAAACCTTTCCCCGATATGTGTTGTTTTTTTTCTGACATCAGGGCCGCCGGACGCCGTCAGTCAGAGGAAAAAAACTGCATAGGAATGAATAGCTAGATTGCTATTGGCTATTACAATGTGCAATAGCCAATAGCACCCACCCACTGCTAATTTCAATCAGCAGAGGTGGACCTGAAGTTCTCCATCAGGTCTTCCTCTGCTGATCGACAGCAGCAGATGGTGGGTGCAATAGCCAGCTTGCTATTGGCTATTGCAAATTGAAATAGCCAATAGCAATCTAGCTATTCATTCCTATGCAGTTTTTCTTTTTTTATTCTGTCGGCAGCAGGTGTCAGAATACTAAAAAAAACAGCAGATAGCATGGGAGGCATTAGCTTCTTTGCTATCTGCCATCATTTCAGGGGGTGCTCCCTTTCCCCCAAATGGATTTGGGGGGGCGTAGGGGACAGAGGGCACCTCCCTAAAATGACTTATTTCAGTGTGGGATCCCTGCCTAGAGGGACCTGGATGTATGATTGGATATCTTCCAGAGCACCCAGGGTGGCCAAAACCTTGAGCGCTTCGTTTGGAAAGGAGTTTGGCATGATTTGCTATGTTATAGAGAACATTTACAGTGTTATTCACAAAAGGGTGAAGAGTTTGGAGAAGGCAGGAGAACTGAACAATCTAGGCCAAAATATCTGAACTGGAAAGTGAGCTGAATTGTAGAATTTTTCCAAATCAGCTAATTTGGCCTACCGTACATTGTTCACTTCTGCCTTTTCCAAACTCTTCACCCTTTTGTGAATAACCCTGTTAAAATTGCTAATTGTACCTAAGCAGTATCCTGAAAGATTTAGGTTTTGTCTGGAATTCCTACTGAAAAATAGCAGTGCACTTTACATGTGAGGATGTCTAGTTTCTCCTGTGCCTACAGCCTTATATTTGTACATCTGTAGTGTAAAATCTAAGGTACCATGCCTAGCTGCTAATTTCAAGAGACTTGTGTGACATTTGGTGATGTCACTACTGTATTGCTCACTGTTCTCCTTGCTGGAGGCCCTGACATGAGGAAGCAAAACCCTGCCAATAAGGCTATCTCCACACAGAGATACAGTGCAGAGCAAGGAATGGTAAGTCAGTAATGGGGAAAATGCAGCTGCAGAGAGACCTCATACAATACTGGTGACTGGTCCTTTGCCCTCTGCCTGCCATTTTTGGCACAGCTTACAGAGTTTCGTTTCTCTCTAAGGCAGATCAGCACAACACATTAAATGGCCCACTTGCATTGGCTTCTCTTTCAGGGAACCTACTCTAGACTCAGACCATCTTTCTACCAGAAAATTGCCTGGTATTTTTGGGCCTGGCTCTTTAAACACATTGACTCTACTCTGACCTCCAAATGCTGTGAACAAGACTGGGGGTTACCCGTTTAAAGACTGAGCATAAGTGACCCTCATACCACTGTGGCAGCACTGCTACAACATGCTGGGCCACTGCAAGTTAAATATGACAGTGGTCACCTTAAGGATGAAGCAGGAATGGGAACCATATCCCTCTTCATAGTGCACAGGACCAAGCACAAGTAAGTAGGATGCAGAGCATTGCCACCCTATCACAGGAAATGCCTAAACAATGACCTGCATTAATATGTAAAATGTACAGCATATGGTATTTTTTAATATATATATTTATTTATTCAAAAAGAATAAAAGCATAGTGAAACAACATCATTTAAGTACAGAGAAACAACATCATTTTAACAGCAACAGATAGAAGAGGTGGTATTCACATAGTGAAGAACAATGTTGCAGTATGATATTTAGTCATATGAAACTGCAGAATGAGATGCCAAGGTGTTATAAAGGGCAAATGAAATTATAAATGTGTATTTTACAAAAGATTAAATATCACATTGAAGAAAAATTATTGTCTAATAACATGGAAATAATGAGATTCTAAAGAATAAGCTTATAAGTGCCTAGGGAAATCGTGTCTACATGGAAATGTTCCTCAAAGGAAAGTATAACTAGGCAGTTAATAACCATGGAAATTATGTAAGAAAACGTCAATTTTTAGACCCAAATACACCAGTAAACTTCCAAATCCGCACCCTCTTTTGAAGCTCGTCCAAGAGGTTGGAAGAGGCCAGGGCCATTGCAATGGACAAAATAGACAAATTCATCCAAACTTGGTCTCCCTGGGTACACCATGGACACCATATACCTTAATTTTCTAATTCACTTTCCTACTCAGGTATTGGTCATATCACACTGTCATTTTAACCCCCTTCTCTCTCTTTATATGAGATTTTAGCTTCTGAGTTTATAAATACTTTTAGGGAAACCTGTGCTGACAACACATGTAGGCTGCCAAGGCTGAAATACTTGTGTCCTGGCTGTTTTGTTGATCTAAGGTCTGTAACACTTTCACAGCCACTGACCTGAAACAAGTATGCATATCGGGAGTTCTGACTAACCTGTATTTTCTAGTTGCATGCATGTTCCAAGTCAGTGACTCAAAAATAATGTAGATGTCAGGGATAGCTGGGGAATTATTCATTTATTACAGGTTTTCATGTAGCGCCGACAATTTACGCACCACTTTACATAGTTGGACATTACATCAGTCCCTGCCCTCAGGGAGCTTACAACCTAATCTATTCCCTATCTCACATGCTTACATACAGGGCCAGGGGCGGACTGACAACACATGGGGCCCCCGGGCAATACATGGTTATGGGGCCCCCTTGATAGCGATACACTGCCGCGGGCCCTCGGGCAGTGCCCGACGGACCGAATGGTCAGTCCGCCCCTGTAGAGGGCCAATTTAGACAGGAGCCAATTAACCTTCCAGCATGTCTTTGGAGTGTGGGAGGAAACCCACGCAAGCAGAGGGAGAACATACAAACTCCATGCAGATAGTGTCCTGACCGGGACATTAACCGGGGACCCCCAGTGCTGCAAGCCACTACCCCACCATGCCACCCAATTAGTATTTTCTGATGGAGGTCAGCAAAGGAAGCCACACCTATTCAGGGTCAGTTCCAGTGTATCAGTGCAATGCCCTTTTACCTGTACTGGCAGATACTATCATTTTGATTTGGGATATTTTTGGTTTATTTTTTAGATATTTAGACAAGGAGGAAAATGCTGATTAAAGGTAAAGTCCTCCCCGTTTTATCAGAGAGAAGCCCGTTCTCTTTTCTCACCCCCTGTACCCAGACCAATAACAAAATGCATTAGTATACTAGCACCTGTTGCTGTCGTCAATTCTTAATATAGGCCTGCCACCTTCTCCAGTGTCTGTCTATGTAATGTTAGTGATAACATTTACAGAGATTAAAAGTTTGCTGTATTTTTGCTTGTAACTTGAATGTGTGACTTGCTGTGAAAGTGCCAGCAATTATCTCTCTAAGGTCAGAAGACAAAAGTTTCACAGTAGAGCCTCGGAAGGATCCATCTGGCATTCCACCTGCCAGGAGAAGATCTATACTGTGTCTCCTATCTGCATGGGCCTCACTGCAGTGCAGCAACATAAAATCTAATGTTAGTATGCTGAAGCCAAGCCTTATTTGTATCTATGATTCCATTTTAGATGGTAAGTGAAATCCCAACATTGAAAAGAAAATTAAAAAAAATAAAAATCCTTCAATTACTGTTCATGCTTGCTAAGGTAAGCACCCGTAATGGACTTCTAAGGTGTATGACATAAATATTCATAACAATAACAAATATACAAAAAATATACAAATTACATATA